TGGATCAGAAACATGTTTTGAATACATCGAAAGAAAATCGAGGGAATACGATTCAAACAAAGCAACAAATCGTACCTAACCTCAAACTGACGGCTCTAAGTTTGATAACAGCGATCGCAGTTAAGGTCTTCTTCGCTAGTTGACATTTCTCAGACCAAGAAATCGCTAAAGCTATGACCGGCCATCCCTAAAAGCACTACTGGTGAGTGATCAGTGACTTCTCGTCAAGTGGGACACAACAGTCCGGGGAAACTGCAGTATGCACCCTACAGGAGGATGTCAAGTAGCCCTCGATCACAGGCGCGACAAGTAATACGTGAAATGAATACTGTTAAGCAATGTAAAATTAGTACTAACGAGAAGCCGGTAGTTTGTAGCCCTTCGTGATTACTGCATCTCCGGCGGGGCATCCGTGTAAAGTTCTGCACTCAGCCAGTAGTCCCGAACCGGCAGCTCGATGAATGCAGCCATCAACGCCACCACCACCGAGTAAACTTTCATTAGCCGCGTTCACAATTGCATCCACCTGCAACTTGGTTATGTCCTTTTGTATGAGACTGAGTCGTTGTACCAGTCCTGGTTTGTTCTGGGATGCCGAACCACCTAAAAGTCAAAAATCGTGTTTTTCTGATAATTGTCAACGGGGCTTCCGCTTACACTGGTTAAGGTTTACTCGTCGAAAGATTCTACTTATCAACACTATGCACACTCGGTGGATCTGTCGCTGTCGGCGTAGGTTAGTGTGCGTTCAGAACGCGGTGTTTTGAGCGTACAAGGGTGTAAGATTGAGATTGGTATGGTAGGGTAGGAGAACACTCCAGACCAGTTTTTTAACCCATTCAGTCATTAAACGTTAAGCTGCTGAAGGCTAGGATACAGAGGCAGCTTTTGACAGCTGTCCATTGCCGCGAATAGCGCGCAAGTAAAAGACTCCGTTTTTATTCAATTTAATGGGCGTTGGGACTCTGGTAGCTGCCACTAGTGATTATTTCAATGCTGATGCTGTTCGTCCTGAGCAAACAACATCAGAGTGATTGTTCAGTGCACCTGATTGTGGCTGTTCCTCATATTCTCCCCAACTTTTATTCATTTCACTGTGACTTCCACTTCTAAGTGGTCTCTTTTCACAAACCTTGCAAACTGCCAGTGGCCAACAGGTTGGTTCGTTGACATATAGAAATACATACGACTCTCATTCCGCCTACGTTTCTTCTTTGATTGTGAACTGATGGTGGGCATTCCACTACCTAATGATAATTAGCTTTTTGGGTGGAAAAAGCAGCCTAACTTACATAGAAATAGAGGTATACTCGGAAATAGGCTCTCGTCGTAGACCCCTCCGGTGCGGTTTCCAAGCGCGTGCCATTACAATTCGAGCTAAATATGACGACGACAGCTTTATCACTATGCTACTGATAGGCTTTTCTCTTCCTGCATTGGCAGGCGTTTTGTCTGTTAAGATTTCCATTTGAAGGGACAGCAGGAGGGCTAGTACACCTCCGCATAAAAAACATCAGCAGGACTAATGTGGTTCCCACAGGAGAGGAAGCAATAAATGGCTCATGGGCATCCCTGCGTGGCATGCTGCAGATAACGACAATATACGCGGCAGCTTGCAAGTTCTACAGTGACCACAACCCTAGGGCCCATGACTAATTGTGAAACTAAAGCAGTCCGAAAATTTTATGTATGTACATGCTGGGACGACTACTTAAAATAGAACCACTGCCCTCTATATAGTCTAATTGGCCACACTCGGTGGCCTACAAAAAATACTCTAGCGAAGCGTCATAGATCGCACGGCAAAGTGTATCATATTGTCGGCTTCTGACAGGATATTCGTGTAAATGGCATGGAAATGGAAAGTAATTATGATTGCCTGACAGCATTGAAGTTTTGGAGTCGGTGCTACTTGAGACGGCCGTACCGACTAAATTAAGTCGCTCGATTCAATACCAAGTCATTTAGTAGACTAATTGATCACGCATGTCCCCGGTTCCCATAAGTATCAGTATCAGCATATTGAGGGATAT